ATAGATTGCTAGATTGCTGTTGTTGGTGCTTTTTTTCTGTGGGAAAAATTTGTGTGAGAAAAAAAAAACAGTAATCATTTTTACTATAGCATACTGTATGCTTTACGCGCATTGCTTCTTAACGCTACATTCCATGCTGTAATATTCATGTCTGTTATCATAATGTTGATTTAAACTGATTCCTTTTTTATATATATATATATATATATATATATATCAGCAACCTGGTTTTGTTTTTTGTTTTTTTTATTTTACTGTTCCAGGCAGGTCAATATTTTGTGATGCTGTTGATGCTCTCTGTGACTTTCTTTATCTCATGAGTGTTTATGGCCTATATACGCTTTTTTCCTCAAGATCAGTTCGTACAGCAAATGTAGCAGCCATTCTCTGTGTTGACTCCCCCATACTTATGTTTAGTGTCCAGAGAGAAGATAAAGGCTCTGTATGTACTTGTGCTGGAGAACACTTGAATAAATGTCTTGTTTTTGTGCAAAAAAAGGACATTCAACTCTCTCTGCCTTTTTCTAACTTGTATTGAAAATAACCAGGGAACGCCAGACTTAAGCCCAATGACAAAATGTGTGACTTGAAAACAGATGGGTACCGATGACGTCCGATCAGTTGGACGGACTTTCAATTTTTTTTTTTTGCAAACAATAATGGGCAAAATTCTCAATAAGGGACCAAAAGTTCAATAAAAACTTTTTCAAGACTCTTTTTATTAAAATGCAATACAATGCAGCAAAATTTTAATAGAATGCATTAAAGTCAATTTCTAAATGTCTCTGTCCAATATGCAGCGGTGGACGAAGTACTCGACACTATTACTGGAGTAAAAGTATTGATACTCATAGTCAAATCTTACTCAACTACAAGTAAAAGTTACAAACATCAAATCAAGTTAAAGTATTAAAGTACTCACTTTTAAAAATACTTACATGCTCAAAAGTACATGCATTTAAAAGTGCTTAAGTTTAAAAAATACAAATCAAATTTTCTAATAAATTTCTGTATAACTTTAGGACTAATGTAAAAGAGCGCATTCAGCGTCTGCTCTGCCGATAATGCAAGCGTAGAAGAAGAAATGTGCTGTTTACCTGTGCAAAGAAAGAAACAACGAAAGAAAAATGTCTGAGGACTTCAGTGTTGAGGAAGAGCATGAGTTCTTTGCCGAGCTGAATGCGCACTTTCATCTGGTTTGGTCTGCCGTGGTTTCCGTAGACTCGTGAACGTGCTTTTAGGAAATCCTATACACTACTGTTTATGCTCTAAAAACATTCTAAATGACTTCGTTTCGAGTAAATTATGGACGCTACCCACTCAGAACACTTGGAATACATTGGACGAGCAGTATGGAGGAATATTGACACGTTTTTTGTGGACTTTTATGGACCTTTCTGCCTCGGGCGCCATAGACCTCCATTATTTGCATGTCAGCAGACAGCAAGAAGCCTCCCAGATCTCCAGATGCATTTGAGATATCAAAAAAGTACTCCAGAGTGTTGTTCAGCATGGGGGTGAGTAGAAAATGAAGGCTAATCATGTTTTGGGTGTACTATTCCTTTAAAATGACCAGTTCTGTCATGATTTTTATCCAACCACTCAGCAAATATATTAATATGTAGCAGTACATGTGCCCTTGGATAATATGTTACCTGTTTTAAATTAAGTTCAACAAAAAAAGTTAGAAAGTGAAAAACATTAACCCTTTAAAGCCCGATCCAAGAATAAAACAAAACAGAAAATTACTCTTTTTTTGGTTTGAAGTCCTTATTTGGCCTTTTAACAAAATATGTAAAAAGAAAAAAACAGAAATACATTTTTTATATTAATAATTTATTACTATATATCTGATTGTGTACAATAGGATTTTGAGCAAAGTTTTTACCATTAAATTATGCAAAAGGTTTCAGACGCAAAACATTTCAGAAACCGTATGTATCAAATATGATACATTTGGCATTACAGGGTTAAAAGCTTAATGAAAAGTTAAAAATTAGCCTGTATCAGCATTAAAGGTTATGTTGTAACAAAAAATGTCTTTCTTTCAGTCTGTGAGTGTTTTTTTATTCATTTTGTTATAAAGCACCTTTTTTAACATATTAGTTGTGACCATTTGTTGTAATTACATTGACCTTCATTTTTCCTATGAAAATATACAATTTTTTAAATGTTGTCTTGACCTCAAATAAATACTCTTTACTTAAAATTCTGCAGAAAATGATTAATAACTCCATGACCAAAACTCAAAAAAAGGTTTTGTCTGTTTACCTTATTCAAAGGAACAATGCAGAGATATGAAATTTACAATTATTTACCAGCTGGGGGGAAATATACTATAATAAAAAAAAAATTTAAAAAAATATTATAAAAATATATTGGTTATGCTGCAATGAACAAAAAAAATTCCTGTTACAATAACATATTTAAAGCATCTGGATTTTTGTATGGAAAACGTAGAACATAATTTCAGGATTAATATGGTTGATAACATTTATATAATCTATTATAGTCGAAGTCATTTCTGGTTATAATCCAGATGAAATGTGTTGAATGTTATTTTTGCTTCCATCACCCTCTCCATCTGATAATGGTACGGCCTCCCCAGAGTGGACGCGCCCAACGTCAGCAGTAATTGGCTGCGGAGGGGACCGAGCCTTCAGTCCGCGCGGCTGATTGGCGCGCCGTCGCGTCTCGCGGCCTGGATGCTGCGGCGCGCGGGAGGCTGGCAGCAAAACCACAAAGGGACACCGGAAATGAAGGGATACTGCTACAAAATAAAAGCTAAATATCCAAAAAATCTCTAATAAGTGTGGATTTATTTTTGATATTTTAATTTTTCCTGATGTAGAAACTATTTCTGGATCAAAGCATATGACAAGTACTAAAACTTGCATGACCAACAAAAATATATTAATAGTATTCAAAACAAAAACAAGGTTCTAATAGGCTACTGTATAAAACCTGGAACTCAATGCTGTTCCTGCCATTTTGAATTGAAAAAGCTTCCTGGATGGGAAGAGAAACGTCTTCAAACTTGGAAATAAAGTCCAGTGGATTGTTTTTTTTACTTTTTTTTGGGAATATTATTCGTATTAGGTTTTTTTTTTAAAAAAAAGCTTCCACATTGAGTAAGGCTTTAGAAATGACAAGTTTGTTGTTTTTTAAAGTCTCCATTCCAGAGGGACAAATATAAACTAAGAAATTGACCTACAGGACCTTACAAAATAATAGATGGGTAACAATATATCTGAATAGGCTGTCGTGAAAATGAAGGAGTCCTGATTGTTTAGACTAATGTCCTGCAGTAAATTATGTACGTTTTAATGTAAATGTGTTTGTGTTAATATAATGACTCTGTTATTAATGCATTTGTCTGTATAATAATGCTTAACGTCTTTGCAACTAGTCCTACTTGTTTTACTTTACTTGAAGTTAGAAAAAAAACATAATTCACTCTGCAAGTAAAGCATTTGACAGTATAATAACAGTATATTAGTATATCAGAAGTGGCTGAGAAGAGGGTGCTTTCCAAGCTTACATCTTTCATGGACAACACCGTCAACCCTCTGCAACAGAGGAGCTGAGCAGCTCCTTTGGTCATTCATCCCTGCTGCAACCAGACTCTACAATGCCACACTACAACGGCCATAGCTTGTGCAATGTATAATGTGCAGTTACTGTTCGATACCCTGTGCAATAACTATATATAAAAATATCCATCTATATAAATACCAATGTAAACACCCTGTGCAATAACCCTGTATAATAATCCTACTATTTAAAAAAAAAAGCTGTCATATGTGAATGCGCTGTACTGCTTATATACTATGCACCTTTTTCTTCCTTTGGCATCTTTTTCTTCTCCTTTGACTATTTGAGCTAATGCAACGAGTAAATTTCTCCACTGTGAGATCAATAAAGTTAATGAATCAATAAGACTTAATGGCATTTTACATCTACTCCTACGTGTCACACGTTATAGTGAAATGGATTCCTGACAGACAGAGTTTAATACCTATGTCAGCAATGACAGTGTAATGTAATGCTAACACATACATCTAAATTACTTTTTTAATGTTTAGAGTTAAAACTGTTGTGACATATTTATGATGGGTTATGATAATCATATCATTTGCATTTTAAAGTGTCACAATTTACTAAATGTCAGTTCATGAAAACAGTCATCAAGACTCTGTATTGTTCTTGCCTGGTGTTATATGACGTTTATGACAGTGTATTGTCGTAACAATCATATGCACATGCCTTCATTTAAAGTGCTACCAAGTCTTGTTTCTAGATCTTTGTGCAAATCTAAAACATCAGTAAAGAGTAATACAATAAGAAAAGAACAAAACTAATGTAAACATTTGTCCCTCATGCAAAACGTTACATATCATCTCCTCGCATTGTGGTGGTGGATGAATCATGCTGTGGAGTTTTTTCTACACATGCTATTGTATCAATAAGGCAATATTAAAGTTGTATATGATGTTGTCATTAATTGCATTCCTGGGGTCTTTCACGCTGCACATTATCAAGACATGAGGAATAGGGGAATAGGGGGAGTGGCGGACTAGTGGTTTGGATATAGAGGTGAGAATACCGAGGGTCTGAGTTCAAGCCACACTCCCACAGACTGCCACTCTGGCTCTCTGAGCAAAAACCCCACACTACTCCCTGGGCGCTGCACAATGGCAGCCCAGTGCTCCCCAAGAAGATGGGTTAAATGCAAAGGTAAATTTCTCCAATATGAGATCAATAAAGTTCAATGGATATCCTTTAAGAAGGTTTTAGGCCCATAAATTCACACGTATTCAGGCGTTCCTATTCTACAAAATATGATCTTAATATCATTTTCGAAAAGTGGCTTCTTTAAAATTATTTTTTATCATGTTTTACATCAACATAAAATCATATTGATTCAATGCGACTTTTATTCTGAAGGGGTTTATCGGGCGTCTTTGTTGGATTGCTTTGCTGACTTTACGCAGATGATGCTGCGGTGTGCGTCTCAGACCGGCCGGGAAGGTACCCATCTGGTGTGTGGATCTGCTTGGAAAGGAGCTTCCAGGGTTTGTGTTTCTCTCTGTTCCTCACAGAAAGTAACCAGAGCGCGGATTGGAGCAGCTGCAGCATTGGCCAAATCTGGAGGTATGTGCGCTACATATCAGTGGTATTATTAAGGCTTCTGACGTCTTAATCATCTCCTGCTACCCGGACACTCCTGGCCATACCCCTCCTCCCCTCCCCAGCGGCTACGCGTCTGGGTGTTCCTGCCATCCAAACCAACCCAACCACACCTTCTCCGTGCGCCAAGCCAGGCCGCAGGGTTTAATTAAGGTCTGGCCACGTTAGGAAGCAAAGAGGCTCGGTGCGCCCTGTGCGCACCGGGAGGTGGGAGCTCTGATTCTGGGTCGGAGATGAAAGCTGTGCAGCTGATAAGGATGGAGATTGGTTTCTTTGTGTCACCAATGGACTGCGCCTGGACCTCCCCAACCCCAATCTACACGTTTAATATCAATCTAGATTAAAACTAGGATTGGATAGTTTTTGGCTTTTGGTAATGCGTGTTTAAACAAAATGGATCACAAATCAAATTAGGCTATATGACGTTTAAAAGAGGCATGATTCAGCTCTTAATGAATGTTTTTGTTTATAATAAAAACAATCCTAACACTCGTTAAAGAGACCACGTGTATTATTCCCTTATAAACAACTGCTACACCCACCATTGAGCTTTAATATTTATAACTAACAGAAGGAAACAGTGGAGCAGCAGTTCAACCTGCACTGGAAAAAAAAATAATGCAACCGCTTTTTGGTTTTTACTTAATCATATTTAGTTACTTTCACATAATTGATTCATATTTACAGGGAAGGACATAAAACAATTGTGTTAAAGTACATAAATATGACTAACTAAATGCCATGCATTATGTGGGCATCAGCGGATGGAGGTTTCAGAACCTCACCCACTATCAGGCGTCAAATCTGGATGTGGAAAGAAGTCCATGCCTTGCAGTAAACTTGCCGCACCCTCAGACGCATCCTTCTAGACGCAAGCACGTAGAGAGAGAGAGAGATGGGCACACACACACACACACACACACACACACCCATACACACCAAGCACAGTTCCTAATATTCTCACCACAATGATGGAGAGGGAGGGGAGGCAGCCAGGGTGCAGGAGAGACCCTGGAGATTGCTTCTTTGTTGCTCATGAATAGTTAATCACTGACAGTAACCTGAATTCAACCATAGCAAACTCAATGAAGGAAACTATTAGAAGAGAAAATCCCAATATTGTCCCACAATAGGGACATTCTGGTGTTTACAGCAGCAAAAAAATATTATATTATATTATATAAATGCTGTGCACATGGAGAATAAACAACCAATATACAGCTATGAACATTTTTACAGCAATGGATATTTGAAGAAAAGCTGCAACATCAGAGATGTGCAAAATGACAGCAGCATGTTAATAAACTGACTAAGGTAGAAACTGCAAAATCAGCACCAATGTAACAACTGATTGAGGTTGTTGGGAACAGTGGTGATTATAAAGTCTTACAGCTTTTGGGAGGAAGGATCTGTGATAACGCTCCCTGGTGCATTTAGGGTCACTGAAGGAGCTGTCCAGTTCAGCACCAGCTTAACGGGATGGGAAACATTATCCAACAGAGATGTTAATTTAGTTGGTTTTTTAATTAAATTTGCCAGTGATGAGCAACATTTCTTGAAGTTCTCAAACATTTTAATTTAAAGATCTGCAGATATTAAAAACAAATAAATAAAATCTAATTTATTTTATAGGGTAAAAAAAATAGAGCTCAGATTATTTTCCCTATTCTATTTTTAACTTTTAGCAGCCCAGATAATAACATCTGTCTTACTCTTCAAGATACATTTCTGTCTTCTTGTCATTTTGCAGAAATAGTAAAGTT